ATAATACCACTAGAAGAAAGTGGAAAATGAACATAGTAAATAGGTACAAGCGCATGCATGTCATAAATGCAGAATTGATATAGTTGGGCAATATTTATCAAAGATAGCATCTCGATAAACACAACATATAAAAATAAGCGGGGAATTTATTTTGATGCAAGGAGATATCATAATGTCAACACCAATTTGTATTGTATAAGGAGAAAATAACGTGAGCTATATCAACATTAGTTTTATTTGACGTAACAAGATATAACAATGTCAATGCAAATGTATTATCGTATATGGAGAACATAAATTGCAAGATATATCGATATTAATTTAGTAGATAATACATTCTAGAACCCATACGAGCAACATTAAGATATGACGACTGTGCCTCTATGTAAAGGCCGGCAAAATAAAGGACTCCTGGCAGCAAATGAGCACACAAACACAACAAGAGGATATCAATACCAGTATATATAGCATAAAGAGAATACAGATGCAAGATATGTCAACATTAACTTCAGCAAATAATTTTGGAGAGATACATAAATGTAAGAACAAATATAATTGAGGAACATTTATCCAAGATATGATTGTACCTCGATTGATAGATAACTATCTCAGAATGACTAAGAAAAAATCCCTTATTAAAAACAAAATATATAAAGTTATGTGAGACATTGAATTTGATGTAACAATATATCATGATATCAATACTAATATATATAGTATAAAGATATTACAAATGCAAGATATATCAAACATTAGTTAGCAAATAATATTTGCAAGAAACCGTATAAGCAATATATGTTGAGGATACGACTATGCCTCTATATAAACACCACCAAACTAAAGGAGCTCTTTGCAGCGAAGGAGCACACCAACAACAAGGCAAACACAAGTAGTCGATCTCTTCTCCTCATGACACATGTCAAACAGAGCGACACAAGGAGGACCGTCAGTGGCGTAGCTGTAGGGTGGCCAGGGTGGTCCATGGACCACCCTGGAATTTGGCCCATTAGTTTAGTACTTCTCTGAAAAAAAGAAACATATCTAGGCCCAAGTCAGGTCTCAGCCCATGTACATGCGAAGCTTTGGCTCGTTTCTTCCGTTTCCTGGTACGCGTGCGCTAATCGTTCCTAGTTCCCGACTCCTCGTCATCTACTCGTCTCCTTTTCCTCTGGTCTCCGGAAGTCTGAAAGATTGAAACGCCATCGCCCAGCGCAACTGCGCAAGGCCGGCACTCCGGCAGGGCACCCGCCAACGGCGACGGCCAAGCGGCCGGCGAAGGACGCCCGTCCCGGCGGCCAACGAGGCGAGGAAGGAACTGTGCACGCACGCATAGGTACAGGTGTACAGCCCCGTGCAGAGTAAGATATTTGTTCTTCTCTAATTCAAAGAACAACTTCCTTTTGCTCTCAAGATTTGAATGATTTCCTAGTCACATACATCGAACGAGATGCTTTCTCCAAAGTGACTGAAGATAATATAATTGAGACTTTCATGGTCTTGAGAAGGTGGTATACCGACAAATAAGGTGTGTCATATTTTATGCAAATGTAAGACTTGAATACGAATTTTAATATGCTTTGCAAGACCTTATTGATATGTGCTTTGGATATATTCTGTGTGCATATGTTGGTTCGCTAAATTTGTGGTGTAAATTTTATTTTGTGACAATTGGACCACCCTGACATAAAATCCTGGCTACGCCACTGAGGACCGTGGCCATCACTTTCCTGGTCCTTACGATGATGTTTGCTTCCACATTGCCACCCTGCCATGCAGTCCAGAGTAAGTTGTGTGTGTGTGTGTGTGTGTGTGTGCGTGTGTGTGTGTGTGTGTGTGTTACCAAGAACTTGTCTGATTGAGTAGCTAACGCTATGATGGTATATCGCCTGCAGTTGTGGACGAAAAATGTGTGTATTTGCAGGGGTGCACCACAACTGATTGCAAGGATGAATGCATGCGACTAATCGGGCACCAACGTCGCTGGGACTGGACTTGCAGAGAGGTTAATAGGTGTTGCTGCACAAAATACGGGAAAGCACCATTTTGATCGTGGCTCCATGATGTAAGATGAATCCCAGTCGTGCTTGTGCGAGTTGTAATCCCCGCGAATAAGATCATCGCATGTGATGTATTGATGGGTTTCATCAAAATGGAATAAACCTTCGGGATGTGATTAGCTGCAAACCTGCGAGTTGTCTTTCTTGCATGCCTAATTTATCCTTTACTTTACAGTTTATGGTAGCCAATTAGGAGCGTTTTGCTAGGATTGGGTGGACGGCGGCGTTTATGGTCAACTATACCGTGTTTATCGTAGCCAATTAATTAGGAGCGTTTTGCTAGGATTGGGTGGATGGCGGCGTTTTTTGTTTTTTCGAGTTTGTCTTCCAAGCTTCGATCTTCTTTGAATTTGTCATTTGGTCGTAATCGACGGAACTTCAATGTAGATTCCTGCCTTTTTTAGGGAAGGTGAGGGATTTCTAGTCATGTGACGAGATTTGGTCCCTTTTCAAAAAAAAAATGTGACGAGATTTGGTGTCAGTTGCTTTAGATTTATGCAAGGGTTCAACAACGATGACTGCAACGCCAGGGCACTGGTCCTTAGGGGCTCACGCCCGAAGACTTGGTTGTCATCGACAAGGTTAAGCTGGCTCCGATAAGTGAATGGCGATAGCGGCGAGTCGGTGGGTCGTTTTGGCGGCAGTGGTAGTGGTCGCTCTTTGGTCCTAGAATTTTGATGTAATTTTATTCTATTTGACATGCTTTGTACTTTCGGTGAATTTTATTTTTATAATAGTTCCGCTTGAAAAATAAATTGCCCTAAGCGAACCAACCTATGGTTGGATGGTTAGGTGGACAGTGATATTCATAGCCATCAGGGTTCAAATCCTGGTGCTCGCATTTATCCTGATTTAATTTTAGAATTTTCGGCAATGTGCGTTCAGAGAGATGAGACATTTCCGTCGACTACGAGGTGCCTATGGCTACTTCGTAAAATCTCAAGATGATATGTCAACTCAGTCTCTCGGAGGTGCTCATAGGGTCGGGTGTGCGTGTGTGCGTTTACAGAGATGAGTGCATTTGCCTATATATTAGGGCTTTGCATCCGTAGTGTGTTCAAAAAAATTGCTCTAGGACTGTAGATGTCTGTTCGATGAAAAGGAAAAGAAATACTAGATAGATTTATATGTCCCCTGGTCGGACGAAGAATTCAAGCCGTCGGAGCTCGGGTTAGCTTTCAGTTACCACTAGTGCAGTTGATTGGGGAAAGGCAGGCGGGGCAGAGGAAAGTGCGGACGGAACACGAGAGAGCGGATCCTCCCCCGGCGCCGGCGGGCACCGCCGGAGAAGACGGACGTCCGCAGCAGCCCATCCGGCACCGTGCATCGCCGTCTCCTTCCCCATCCGCAAGGCAAGGCCTCTCCTCTCCTCTCCTCTCCTCCGCCCCATCTGCCTCTGCGCCAGCACAACCCTAGTTCAACCGATCAACCCTAGTTCTGCTCCTGTTAGTCGGCCCTTCTCTTCCTTTTTTTGAGGGCCACTGAAATGATCTCCACATTTGTAGTGGATTCCGGCCCCGTTGCAATTCTGGATATATAATTGACTTGGATCCGGTCTTGGTTAGTCGGTCGGTTTGAGTGCCCTGAAAGAAATGATCTGCAAATGGAATATAGAAATATGCATTCTGAAACATGTGAACAACATTTCAGTTCATCGACGGCGCGTATTGGTTAGAGACTAGAGTCCAGAGTTGCACTTGTTGTTTTCATTTTCTTCAAGCCGACCTAGCATCCGTCGACTTTTCATCTTTCTTATGTTCTGAATGTACACATGTGCTTCAACAAAAAAAAAGGACAGGGAAAAAAAATCTTGGAGCTTAGCATTTGAACTGGAGGGAGACATTTCCATAAGCAAATATCTTCTTCCGAACCCTACACATTGACCAGCCAAAAGTCAACCAAATATCGGTTTTGTTATGTTTAGTGCGTAGCAAGTTCCATTCATTGATAGTCATATGTTTCAGTTTTGGTTAGTCGGCCCTTTTGAGCAATTTGAGCCCCCCTTAATTAGATGACCCGCCGAATGGAAGAAAAAATATTTACTGTAAAAAGATCTTCATAACTCTTCAGTGTATCGAAGTGCAGTACCGGTTAGAGAGCTAGAACGGCACTTGTCACTTTAATTTACTGTATACAATTGAGATACATCCCATATGCAAGTATATTCTTGGCCTGGGTGCTACTAGCTTCAGTCCAACACAAAGATGACGTCCCTTTCATTGATACGCGTACGTACATTTCAGTTTTGGTTAGTCGGTTGTTTTCAGCAATTTGAGCGCCCTTGAGATTTTCTGCCAAATGGAAGAGAAGTTGTTTCTTGTAAAAAGATCTGTACAACGCTTCAGCATATCGAAATCCGGTATCGATCAGAGAGCTAGAATGACACTTGTCACGTTTATTTATTGTATACTAATTGGGATACATTCCATAAGCAAGCATCTTCTTGCCCTGGGTGCTATTAACAGGCTACTTACGTCTCTCATTTTGTTAAGCAGCTTACAGGATTTTACTGCTTGCTTCATAAACATATATTTCATCTGAAGGATATAATTTATTTATCTATCCATGGTGCTTATTCCTGGTGCATAATAAGTTTTTTGATAGATAGATAGCCATATATACACTATCTGACCTGCAAGACATCATCTGCTTATCCATGGCTCTAATTAACATGCTACTTATGTCTCTTATTTTCTTAAGCAGCTTCCAGTTTTTTTACAGCTTGATTCATAAGCATATATTTATCAGTCCAGGGTTCTTATTACTGGTGCATGACAAGTTTGTTTGATAGGTAGATAGATAGATAGGCATAAACTCTATCTCACCTGCAAAACATCACCTGCTTATCCATGGTTTTAATTAACATGCTACTTACGTCTCCTATTCCTTAAGCGGCTCACAGTTTCTTTTACTGCTTGCAGAGCTTGCCGTCAGCAGCGCATCATGCAAAACCCCAGCAAACTGTCCGCCGTCTCTCTAGCCAGACCCCCTGCTTTTTCCGGGCTCCAAGGTTGGGCTGACCTCCCAGATTGCTTGCTCCATTCCATCGTTGCTCGGTTGGCCTCTGTCCGAGACATTCTTGGCTTTGCTGCAACATGCCCCTCTTGGCGTGCTGTGTTTTCCTACCCATCCAAATCTACGTTCCGCACAAAATGTCCGCCTCTCCTCATCCAACCCAATGTTCGTGTACAAGGTCCTCTTCTTCCTTCTACTAATGGTTGCCGTGATATGTACACATGTAAGGTTATTGATCCAGCCAACCCGAAAGTCGCCCTTCATTGCCAGATTCCTCAAGAAACCCTGGAGAAGATGACGTGTATCGGCTCTTCCTATGGTAATCTCATCTACTACCGCGATCGGTATTGTCGCTTGGTCGATGTGTTCACAGGTGTGGAGGTTTCAGCTCCACGTCTCCCACCCATTGCCAAGGGTCCAAAATTCTGGTTGTATGGCATTTTAACAGCCCCCTTGGCATCACACAGCACACATCTCCTTGTCAGCACCAAGTTCTACCTGTTTGATTCGCCTATTGGAAGCAACTCTTGGTCCCAAGTCCAGCTTCCTTATATGTTGAAAACGGACCAGATTGTGGAATTCAATGGTCAGTTCATTCTCTCGAATGGCAATGGGCGGTTCTACTCCGTGCAGCTGGCCCCGCAGCTTGGCCTGCAGGAGATAACAACCGACAAGCAGGGCTGGAGTCAAGAACCTCGTGATATGACAGAGGTGCTGGTTTGTGGTGACATGCTTATCGTTCTCATTCCCCTTGCTTATGAGCTCTACCGCCTTGACTTGTCGACCAAGCCCGCGACAGTGATGACCTTGGAGAAGCTGGACGACTGGGCACTCTTTATCCAGGCGGAAGAAAAGGGCACACCACTTTGGTGCATGAGTCCGGAACAATGGGGAGGAAGGAGCAACAGCTGGTACTATGCCGACGATGGATCTCTGCCTTGGACTCTAGACGGTCCGTTTCATGAACCGGACCCTGTGCAGGATGCGCCTCCCGTCGATCCTGACGTGGGAAGCCAGGATGGATGGGGAGCGTGGAGCAACACCTCGCACTCTGCCGTCCTCGACTCTTGGTATCTACACGAGCCGGATCATGTATCAGAACCCGTGCAGGAGACACCATCTGGCGAACCCGTCCCGGACGCGTGGGGAGCCAGTGCAGTTAGCTTTGCTGCCCTTGAGCCTTGGGATCCACACGAGCCGGATCATGTGTCAGGACCCGTGCAGGACACACAATCTGACGAAACCGACGTGGATGGGTGGGGAGGCAGTGCAGACAACTTTGCCTATTGGCATTCCCCTGAAAAGGAAGGTTTGCCGATCTGGCTGTACCCAAGCATGGTCTACTCCGATCCTGCCCAACCATAGCTGACTGCACTGCCAGGGAGCAAACGATAACTTTTTCATAACATTTGGTGCGTTTGCTGGAGTTGGTAAGAAGGAGATGTTTGTGGTGGTGACACTAGTGCCGCGAGCATGCTCAAATTATTGCTCAAGTGTCATCTGCTGTCATCTAGTTTTTGCATTTGTTCTCTGTTCCATCATTCTTTCGCTTACTGTACTTGACCGCATATGCTTATATGATCTTTTCTGTGATGTAAGTGGCACGTTTAACGCATCCCCTTTTTCATACGAGTGTGGTTTTGTGTAGCTGGAGCTACACGGTACCCCTTATCTTAGCCATCCATTTTGGCATCAAGATCCGTGCAGGCACATTTATCATTTTTGTTTCTCTCAAACGAAACAACGTATAAACTTCACACTTTGCAGGACAACTAAACATTCTAATTACTACGTGGGAAAAAACTTTCAGATTTTTTCATGCATTTAAAATGCTAAAATTTATTTTTTTTAATAAAAAAAAATCACATTTTGTATATTTATGTTGGTCCAAAAAATCTGAAAGTTTTTTCACACATTGAAGTTGTAAAGTTTGTTTGATCTGGAAAGTTTGAAGTCCATATGTTCTTTCAGTTGAGAGAAACAAAAAAGAGAAATCTGCTTGTTACAAGTTAGTTGAAGAGTACGGATCTCAAAGCAATGTTGAAGGGCTGAAGATAAGAGGTTCCATGTAAGACGAGCTACAAAGGAACTTTGTGTTTTCATATAGGGGAAAAAAGCAAGAGAAAATGTTTCTGTCGACTGCCATATAGTGCTGGACCTTTCTGTTTGCGTCTAAGCTTGCTGGTCATCGTGTTCTAAACTGTAGCATCGATCAGAGAAGATATGGCTTAATTAGCTGGTGTCCCCTCAATTTGAAGATACAAATCCCCATTTGATAGTTACCTTCAGGACTGGCCGCTGCAGTTTAGATGTGTTCCTCGTCCTGGTGATTCGAATTGTGCAACGCTAGAATCAATGGATGCACTCGCACCCACCCTCCCCCTCCCGTGCCGCCCCCGCGCGGCGGCGGGGAGGGCTTCCGGCGCGGCACTCCCAAGTCCCCTCCCCCTCCCTCCTCCTCTCCCGCCGCCGCCAGAGGGCCTGGCCGGGCAAAGCTCGCCTGGGCCGGCGGCGGCGGGGCCTTCTGGTTCCCCCGCTGGCAGAGGAGCGGCGCGGGTCTTCCTCTCCGGCTGGGGCGCGGCGCGACGTCGAGCTGGCGCGCTGGTCGGTGTTGGGTGGTGGTCGCGTGGCAGGCGGCGCAGATGGTGGTGATCGTGCGGGGCCGAACCGTGGCGGCGCGGATCTGGCGCGTGGGGGCTCCTGCGGCGAGGGCTGCAGGCAGCGCGGCCGAGCGCTCCTGGGCGTCGGGCGGCGGCTGCTGACGGCGTGGTGACCAGCGCAGCGGCGGCTTGGTAGCGGTGGTGGTGGTGCGTGCCGGCTGGATCTGGCGGTTTCCGGCGGGCGGCGCGGGTTGGGGCATCGGCCTGGCATGGCTGTTGCTCCGGCTGTGGACGGCGGCGGCGAGGCGGCATGGCCATCTGGTGTGGCGGCTTCCATTCGTCGAGCCGGCATCACGGCAGCTCGGCTGGTCGGCTGGTTTTTTCGTCGTCGGCTCGTTTGTAGGCGGCTCGGTTCGACCTTCGATCCATCTCATCGGCTCCCGACCGCTATCTTCGTCGAAGGATTGACCGTCCCCCAGCTGCGGTCCATCGCTCGTCTCGCGCCCGATGCGCAAGTTCGAGCTCGTCTCGTGCACAATGCCGAAGGACTAAGCTTGTCTTGCGCCCGATGCGCAGGTTCGAGCTCGTCTCGTGCACAGTGCCGAAGGACTAAGCTCGTCACTAACCTCGTCTCGCGCACGGTGTTGTGGAATCGAGCTCGCCTCGCGCCCGGTGCTGCAAGACAGAGAGAGAGGAAGGCAGCAGCGAGGGACTGGCGGTTGGAACATCGGCTTGGATTGGAACCGAATCGAAATATCCCTATCTTTCTTTTTCTGCTGCTGCACGAGATCATCAATCAGTCGGATGATAGAATACAAAGTATTTGTCTGAATTTGCTCGTACTGATTGTGTGTGTAATGTGAGGCCATGCACTGCCTGAATTTGCTGGATCTGTTGCTTGTTCATGGATGCTGTAGCAGCAACATAGTATTGCTGCTTGCACATCGAGAAGGACCCACCATGCCACGCTGTATGTAACAGAGGTAGTAGCTTCGTTCCTAGGTTTACAGCGTACATGTTCCGTGGTATCCTCTCTCTGTTGGCAATTGCGCAAGGTTTTGTGCAGTTCAGAAACCTCACACCCACGTACGTATTCCTCTAGAGATGCAGAAAAACCATATTCCATGTGGTTTTCATCTTGTATCCTCCGCGCAAAGGTAAACATTGTGTTCATTTAACTTTACTATTTATAATACATACATGTGTGCTCCTAAATTAAAAATAAACTTTAAAATCAAACTTTACTATTGCGAATATTATTACTTTTTCATTTTGATCGACGTGTTGCTTCATCCCATGGATTTTCATGGGCAGTTCTCCAATATTGGCTTGTGGAAATAGGTTCTCCAAGATCCACATGTGGTAGAGCTATAGCCAAATGAAACGAAATGGTTTTTAATTATGTGGCTCAAAGGAGGAACCAAAACAAAAAAGGTTTCTTATCTGGCCGCGGGTATGTGGAAATAGGTTTGAGTAGTGAATAACAATGGAGTGCAATTCCTTATGCAAAAGTTGAAATAAAGAATCGTTTAATAAACAAGAAAAAAGATCATATTGCAACGTTCGCCTATTACAGTTATGACGAACCTAAATTAGAAGAAGAGAAATCAACCAAAAGAAATGAAATACCATATTCCATCCATCCAGGGTTCTTCATTCTCTTAAGGCCATTAATCAATTTGACGAAGCAAGTCTTGTCTGCAAGAGGGGCACTCATCATATGTATGATCACCAGTTCATTTTGCCGACCTCGGAGAGATTGCTCTCGAATGCCTTGACAAGGTTCCCCATGAAGGTCCGCGACGCCACGGTCAAGTTCACCATCTTATCCCTGTACTCTTTGAACACCTTCTTGTAATCTTTGATCACCTTCGAGCCCTCGCCCTCGGCATCGGAGGAGCGGAAGATCTTCTTCCTGTCCACCTCGGCGCACTTGTGCAGGGCCTCCAGCGACGAGTTGGCCTCGGCCTGCAGGTAGTCAAACAGCTCGCGCTTCATGCCGTCGCGCTCCGGGTCCAGGTAGTAGCCGTAGGCGTGCGCCCACCGCAGCACCCGCCGCCCATAGACGATCTCCTTGTACGCCTCCATCACGAACTCGAGCTCCGTCACCGCCTTGATGCCGGCCGCCGCGGCCATCTCCTCGAGCTCCGACCTCTCCAGCTTGTCCATGTCCTGGTGCGCCTTCTCCAGCGACTTGAGGTTGCCCGCCCACCGCTCGTAGTGGAACAGGTACCTGTCCAGCGACGCCCTGGCCTGCCGAGCCGTCGCCTCCTCCTTGGTCTCGACGGCGGCCTTACTGCCTGCGGCGTTCCTCCGCGGCCGGTAGATGTCGCCCTCGCAGGCATAGTGCTCCTGCGTCCCCGCCGGCTTGAAGCAGAGCCAGCAGAAGTGGTGGCCGCAGGGGCAGCTCATGTGGTTGCAGCCATTGTTCTTCTCGATCGCGCGCCGACACTTTGGGCAGACCTTAGTGTTGGCCAGCATCCAGTTTGCCGTCTCCGAGTCCGACTTGTTCTTGTCCAGCCACGCGCGCACCGTGCCGCATGACACCGGCCGGTGGGCCTCCTCGCCGCAGCTCCAGCAGAAGCCGTGCCTGCACTTGCAAAACACGTCCGTGGCGTCCAAGCCGGCACAGCCGACGAACTCGACGGCGTGGGAGCATCCCGCGCCGGGGCACCACTTGATCCGGCCACCGCTCTCCTCCACGTACGACCGGAGCGCGAACCGCGCGTACCGTTCCCTGTCGGTGGCCCCAGCGACCGCGTCGACGAGGCCACCGACAACGGCGGCGGAGCAGGCCGGGTCCGGGCACCGCAGCGAGAGGCACCGCGGGCCGTCGCCGACGGCGGCGCTGATGTACCCGCGCCAGCAGCCGTTGCAGTAGAAGTGGGAGTTGCACGACGCCGATCTCGTCGCACCTGCAGGGCACCGGTCGAAGCAGATGGCGCAGATGAGCCGCCTAGGGCTGAGCGCGGTGGCGACGATGGGGGCGCCGCCGTCCGCCGGCAGGCCGGCGGCGTCGCGGACGCGGCGGTCGTCCGAGAACCAGTCGTCCTGGAGTTTAGAGGGCATCCACTTGTATCGCCGGAGGAGGAAGGCCGCGAACGCCGGCGGGATCGAGAGGACCTCGGCGATGCCGGCCGTGTCCTCCGCCTGCCGTTTGAGGACGTCGTCCTCGGTTAGAACGACGTACGTCACTGGGGCGACGTGGACCCTTGTTTCCTCCGCGTCGCTCATGTATTCATCATCGTCGTAGACGCCGCCACTGTCATCATCGTCGTCGTATTCATAGATGCAATCCTCGCCATCGTCCTCCACGGAGTCGCTGTCTATTTCGCGTCTCTTGTTGCAGGAGCTCTGGCCGTCTCTGTCGCCTCCCTTGTTGCAGGAGCTCTCGCCGTCGACGTTGTTGTAGCCGGATGCCATGCCGCGCCGCCGGCTAGTGGCTAGGGAAGCCCGCCCCCGTTCTTGACGAGGGTTTAGGGTAACCCTAGCGTACGTCGCCTAACCAATTTATGCTGCCAATTAGTTTTACTTTCTCAAACTACATTTTATATCCGCTAATAACCAATTTATGCCTTATTTAATGGACTCAAACTCTTTTCTATTGGACGGTGATAACTGAGCTTTTTTTTAGGGGTCGGTGATAACGGAGCTGACGGACCGATCGATCAGCGTGGACAAACTTACCGCTAACAGAAAACGAAAGATGTCGCCAGGAAAAAAAGATGGCCCGAAATAAGCCCAGTATTAGCTGCAGAGAAAAAA